TGTGTCCACATAATGCTCTACTGATAAATGCTGGGAACAATAAACTCTTCATTAAACACAACTAGAGTAAATTGCACAGATATAGGTGCTTGTATGTTTAAAGAAATCAATAAAACATTTCAAATTTCAAGTGAAATGTCCTATTATTTAAAAAGAAAAGAACACAAAACAATAGAAATACTAATTTAAATAAATTGTTGTAATGACATTTACAAAATAAGAGTGCGAGTGAGATCAAACTGAATAGTGAGATAGCTTTTGTTTTTTGTTCTTCTTTGGCGGATCATACACTGTGTTCAGTGTCTGATCCCTTTGTCACGATCTCGGGTCATCTGACCCAGCGTATTGAGTTTTAGTTTATTTTGATGTTTAAAGAGCACTAACAGTGTAGACCAGTCTAAATGGATCTTTGATGACATAAATAGCATTTTGGTTATTTCAGGTTAATTCCTCTATAAACGGCTGTTTCAAAAATGTAGATGTAATAACTCTTTAGCAATTAAGTGTCATGATCTGTCTTGGTTCCCCGTCTCGTTAGTTAGACTATGTTGAGTTGTGTTCCCACCTGTGGTCTATTCCTTCGTTTGCCTTGTGCTTTTAATGTCTGCCTCTTCCTCTGCTGGTTGTCATGATCACCCTGAATGCTGGGTTTTCTGCTAGTCTGTCTTTTTAGTTTAAAGTGTTTTCCCAGTTTTAGTTTATAATTAATAATTCCAGCAATAAAGCTGTGTTTTGAGTTTAGTTTGGATTTTGGGTCCATTCCTGGCTGCCTAACACAGCTGTTATGACACCAAGTACTTTCAGACACTACAGTGACTGTGGTCCAGTTTATACAGGAATACTTCTTTAATGAGCTGCCTTTTTTAATTATTATTATTTTTTTATCTATACTTGTTCCTATATCTATGTGACAGTTTAATTAATCATGGTTTTCAATCACTGACATGAAAACAGGAGTTAAACCAATTCAGTTCTCTTTCAGTTGAGCTGTGTTTATTGTCACTTTGCTCACTACATATTTTGTCAGCTATAAATTTTACTACTATTTGCTGTCAGTCAGTGTAAAACATTACAACAAAATCAAAATCAGACAAAGACCTAATGGGTTAACCTTAGTCTCAGATGGTTGTTTTAGTGAAATTGCTCTAAAATGACAAAAGAAAAATTAGAGAATGAGTTGTACATGCATACATGCTAGTCTCAGGAAGTTAAACTGCTTTTAATATACAGTTTCAGCAGATTAAAACTGAAATCAGCCCAACTGATAAAGTCCACAACTTACGTGGCTATCACACTGTTTTCTCTTTATCTCTTTATAAATATAAGTCTCTGTCATTCATTCATCTGACCTGTTTGTACAGCAGCACTTACCTTGGTAGACGTTAGGGAGGCTTTGAAATTCACTCCGGTTATGATCCCTCTATATCAAGTCTGAAAAGATACCAGTGGTGATTCAGAGCTTCATGCAAAACCTCCCACCTATTTCCATCTAAATTGATTGATAGCTCTGGCGTGGCATCCCACAAGCCATTTAAATCAAAAGCAAAGCAGCATCATTCAAATTCACTGTTTCTGGATATTTACTTTACTTTGTCCCTTCATAGAATGTTCAGGGATCATGTAGTGTAAACCACCACACCCTACTAACAGAAAGCTGTCAAAGGTGGGGATTTTGTGTTTGAGTGATGTTGAAATCGCTAGAAAGATGACAGAAATTACTTAGAGAGACTTAGAGACTTAGACAGTTTTACTGTGCAGTTTCTTGCACAAAGAAATTGGGTGGCTGGACCACAAGGTGCAAAAGTAAAGAAGGGAAAACAATATACAATGTGGGAAAAAATAAATAAAAAGCAATATATATGTATACATATATGTGTGAGGGGAATTTTATACATGGTGTATGCGTAGGAAACATTGAAACAGAAACATTGTGGGGCTGTATACAGTTACATAATATAGTTATATAATATAATAAATAAAATAAAATAAGGGTGGAGTGGCGATGGTCATTTAGGGTGGGGATGGTGATTCCAATGAGAAAAAAATATTGCACAACATATGCCTTAAAACATTTTTTTTTAAAACGTTTGTTTTTTGTGTTTTAATATTTCTGTTCACATAATAATAGTGATAATATATGCACAACAATTGCTTATTCTTATATATATATATATATATATA